TTTTGTAGGGGCGTTTCATTCGGGTGTCCTCAGTAGACAACCGTCCTCTCGTTTGCAGCGGAGTACGAATTTCACGTATCTCGCAACTGCTTCCCACTTTTCTGCGCTGGAAATCATTATCCCAACTATGTTGTCCGGAGTAATGTCTCCGTGTCTTTCTTCCAACATTCTGCGCGAAATCAAGAAGTGTTCGCAGGTGAAGAATGTGTGGTACACGTTATCTTCGACGTTTCCACAGTAGTGACAGAACGGTGAGTCCACCCTTCCCATTCTATGAAGATATTCTCGGAAGTAACCATGACCGGTGAGGAATTGCGTCAGGTAGAAATCGACTTCCCCATGTGGTCTGTTCAGCCATGTTTGAAGGTCGGCTATCAGGGAGTGTGTCCATCGACCTTTTGTGCTCGCGTTCCAGTTTTGTTGCCACTGCTGGATCAGTTGCTCGCGCGCCCTTGTTATTATTATTATTGTTATTATTATTATTGTTATTATTATTATTGCTATTAAAACCCAACAAAATTTTACAGCAGCTATTTTTGCATTTAGATGAACGTACCAGATTATCGGCTAATACAGAAAATATTTCCAAACTAGGCCAGTTTGATATTAATTTCGAAAAAGGAAAAGACTCATTTTGCTTTTGTAAAAAGGTAGGTATTTTGTTTTGCTTTGCTGTTCGTTTTCGTCTCAATAAAATATAAAAAGTGCATATTTTATAAAAATATTTTAAGGAAGATTTTCTGAATTTGCGGTTTTGTCGGGAGTATCGGGAAAGAATTTTGATCCAGTTCCGTGCGTTAAATTTTTACAGACCTTCCCGACACCGCCCATCTTGAATCAGTACCGTGGGTCCCGATATTCGGTACCCATCTATAATTGAGAGCTATTCTTAAAATGTATGGTTAGATTTGCTTCATCTTTAGAACACACAATAGCAACATAAAATTTGGTGCAATTCGGTAACTCAATCATGTGATGCAAAAATATTGGGCTTTAGGCGCAATCTTGACAAAAAACCTGTAAAACCGCGGCTAGAGAACGAAATATTATATTTTGTTTTACACCTTCGAGGTACTTAAACTCCAGCGATTCTGATGAAAAGGATGAGGAGTTTATGCAGATGTTGGCAATTTAGTTTTTATGTTCCAAGGGGTTCTCAGACCAATATAATCGAAAAATTTATTTACAGTATGGATTGGTATTTGTTTAACATAATAGTCAGTGAAGAGCCGTTAGGCATCTCATCTATACATACAAATACATATGTACATATGCATATTTTTTGTAAATGAAAATTGGGATTCCTTTCTCGGTATAATTTCGAAAGCTACTAAGAAATTTGGATTTAAGTTTTCCTATAAATTTTGGTGGGGGACTTCAAAATCGTCATTAGCATAAAGGGGGAGGATATTGGTGATAAGCAAAATTTAAAAGTGTATGAAAAAATGTGTAATTTCGACAACTGGGCGATACTAGTACTAATAATAATAGCAATAATAATAATAACAACAATAATAATAACAATAATAATAATAACAATAATAATAATAATAACAATTATAATAATTTTACATGGAACCGAGTGCAGAGGGTCGCCAGTCCCAAACATATGCAAGCCCGGATGATAAGTTTTTTTTACATAAAATAACATTATTTATAATGTTTCTTACATTTTAGTCAAAATAAAGAAAAGGTGTTTCAAAGCAGCGCACTTAAACCAGGCGGAAAGGGGACCAAAAGCTGTCGTGGCAAGCAGTGGTATTTTATATTTAAGAAATAGTTTATTTTGTTTTTTACTAATTACCATTCTATTATTACTATAGATTTCTTACAAAAATTTAAGGCGATTTTGGAGTTGCAAAACGAATAAATGGACGCGATATTAATCAATCAGAAAAACATGATAGATATTTATTATGCTTGTAATTTATTTGTTACAATTCGCTTACTATCTTCTTATATATAACAGCAAATAACAATCAGCTCATCCAACAGTTACTTGATTAAAGTTTCAGGAACATGACCAAAATGTAAGTAATAGAGCTTTGATAACATGTATGTATGTATATGCAGCCACTTTCCCGATTTCAATGTCTTGTCCAATTAAACAAATTTGTTCCTTTTTCATTTAATAATAATTACAAATAATAATATGTTAATAAATATATTTTCTAGTGTACTCATAAAGCTGATCTAATGGCTCAAAATAAGACGCTGAGAGAAGTGAAAGTGTCCTCTCAAAACACAGAAAAGCTTGTGTGCCGCATGACAGGGGAGACATGCGATAAGATTTTAAATGGGATCGCCAGTGTGATGCCGTTCTCTTCCACAACGGCCGTTATAGACATGGAGCAAAAGCTGGACACAAAAGAATACGCGCAATCGATGGTATGTACTTTCTATAACTTAAAATAAAATTTAAACTAACAAAAATATTTCAAAAGACGACATACCTGCTGAAAGTAAAGAGAGTATCAAATGATGTTGGTAGTGTGATCAAAAAGATTTTTTCTGACGAAACATTATACCATTTTAATTGGGACATCAATCTACGAGGTTTGCATTCCAAATATTTATTGGTAAATATTCCTTTACACATTTACTCATNATAATTTATTTGTTATATTACAATTCGCTTACTATCTTATTATATATAACAGCAAATAACAATCAGCTCATCCAACAGTTACTTGATTAAAGTTTCAGGAACATGACCAAAATGTAAGTAATAGAGCTTTGATAACATGTATGTATGTATATGCAGCCACTTTCCCGATTTCAATGTCTTGTCCAATTAAACAAATTTGTTCCTTTTTCATTTAATAATAATTACAAATAATAATATGTTAATAAATATATTTTCTAGTGTACTCATAAAGCTGATCTAATGGCTCAAAATAAGACGCTGAGAGAAGTGAAAGTGTCCTCTCAAAACACAGAAAAGGTTGTGTGCCGCATGACAGGGGAGACATGCGATAAGATTTTAAATAATAAAGAGAGTATCAAATGATGTTGGTAGTGTGATCAAAAAGATTTTTTCTGACGAAACATTATACCATTTTAATTGGGACATCAATCTACGAGGTTTGCATTCCAAATATTTATTGGTAAATATTCCTTTACACATTTACTCATTTAGACGTCTTCAAACAAAAACGAAACTTAGAATTTGAAAGAGGAGTGAGAAAAGCAGTAGGAATGAGTCATCACCGACTCAAGCAATAGAAATACCACGAGAAAAAGTTGAAACAGAATGCAAAAGTTAAAATCTAGTTTATAATACAATTTTATAAAACCAAACCTTTAACAATTTTTACGGTCGACGTAATACTTTCTTATTGTTGCTTTTTTCCGTTCATTCAAATAAAATACTGAAATAATATACTAGCCAGGAATACCCTCTATCCTACAAAACGATGGCCTAAAGCTGTAAAGCTTTTTTTTTAATTATACTAATTCCACTTGCAAGTACACTCAAAATTCTTTAAAAAAATTACCATATTTACTATTTCTGTTTTTTTTTCGAACAAAGTTTTAAACTTCGAGTTTAAGGCATCCAAACGGCGATGCACTGAATTAGATCTAGTGATGCGTTTCGGGATGAGCTTCGGCTACTTTACGGATGCGTTTGGGAGCGGTATAACCATGTTGGCGTGGGGAAACAGTATACTTTGTACGTATGTGCATTGCGATTGGTAGACCGGAAGATTGTCCATGTATCACTAAATTGGAAGGCTCCTACAATAATTAAAATTTTTTTTTTGAATTCATTCATATTGCTGACCTCATTTGGCAATCCGATATTAACTATTCTAAAAGTAATGAATTACATTGATTTTTTTTTGTATTATATCTATACTTAATGGTTTAATGACTGAAGTAAATATAATATGTTTAAATGTATTTATACGTATATTAAACTATCGACATTTTTTACTTTATAAAAGAAAGGTTAATAAATATATACAAATTCTAAAAATATAAAACGTAATTTGTATTTCTCAATTATTTAACTAATCAGACCTGATGTAATATTATTTCAGTTATGACTGATCAGTTCTTACTGATGTATACATCAGACCTGTTAAATCGGATTTATTATACATCAGGACTGCACAATCATTACTGCCCGATTTTTACATCACCACTGATCAATCAGCACTGCCTCATTTATACATCAGGATTGATCAATCAGATGTACCTGTTTTTAACAACAGGACTGACCAATCAGATCTGCCTGATATATATATCAGTACTGACTAGTCAGGTCTGCCGAATTTTTTTATCAGTACTGTTGAATCAGATCTGCCTTCTTTGTACGTCAAAACTGACTTGAGCAGGTATTTGGAGTGAGCAGTGCCATCATATATTCTGGAAGTGGCTGAACCCTATATGTTGAAAAAGGATGCAAGATCACATGTACACAAAGAAATCGGTCAACTTTTGCATATAACCCTTCAATTCTGACGTGAAATATGATGCTAAAAGCCTGCAGATCTCCCAGTCAGTTGACCAGTCATATGACCGACAGATGTCTTGTAGGCATGATTTCCTCGCACACAGTCTCATTCATTGAATCAGTTTTATGCAATGGTCGGCATACTAGCCCCTACAAGAAAAGGACATTTTAGACTGACCGATTCTCAATACACTCAAACAAAATCCAATACACATAAAAAACGCTGTAAAATTTCCCCACAATTTTAAGGCAGTAAAAAAGAGACCTTAAGTTGACATCAATCGAGGCCATATGATGAAAAGGGATGCAAGGTCACATGTACACAAAAGAACTTGTCAGATTTTTCAGAAATCCCTGCAATTCTGACGCAAAATATGATCCCAAAAGGCTGCAGATCTCCCAGCCAGAGGACCAGTCATATGGCCGGCAGATGTCTTGTAGGGGCGCATTTAAACGATTCTATAAGAGGCAGTGTTGCCAAGTTTTGAATTTGAAAAAGCACTAAAACCCAAGAAAAGTCGCGTTTTTTCTCGAAGAAAGCACCAAATTTCTATTAGAGTATTTAATAGAATATATATGCATGAAAAATTGTATTGTTGGGATGCCGGTCTAAATTAATAAAAATCAATGTTTTTTGCTCGACGGTCGAATTTATTCTGTTTTCTATAAATTCAAGTATTTTCGGTTAAGCGATGTTAAGACTCTAGTTCTTATTTTCTAATTTGCAGCGTTGCCATTTCGCTTAGATGTAAGCAAAATGTATTAATTTTTCATAACTGTTTAAATATTACAATTTTCTTCGTTTGGCGTAATTTTTTTCTACGATTCCAATCAAACGAAAGCAATAACCAGAAATGAAGTTTCATTAACTATGTGGTAGTTTAAATCTACACAGCAGCCCCTTATGATTTTGTGAACTAAAGGAACATAAAATTTTTTTCTTTCGACCGCTTAACACCTGAAACATAACGAAACTTGTTTTTTCTTTTTAAAATTTTTTATTTGAGCGTATTCACTGGCGCATAGTGGCAAAAATATTTTTATGTCAAAAAAGCTGTATACTCTTCAAATCCCACCCGATTTTGTTTATTCTCTTTTTTCAGAAGTTTCGTTAGATATTAATTTTACTGTTAGGAGATGCTACTGCTTTTTTGAATGGTCGTAAAAAAAATAACAAATTCGGGCCAAACTAAAGGTCTAAAAGGCGATCCCTGGTCCCAGCAATGGCAAATTAACGAATGTAATTCTGACATGATTGTTGATAAACATATGCTCACCCGCGTATGATTGTCATTGTGACATGTTTTTATTTAGATTTTTGTAAAGTTGCTTAAAAAACTTACGATTTCTACAAATTTTGCCCCTTTTTTTCCTAAGATTTACAGATTTGGTGCCTTCGAACTAAAATCAAAAGCTCCAAAAAACGCACCAAGCACTAAACTCTAAAATTTTCGCGTTTTGAATAAAGAAAAGCACTCAATTTAGTGCGAAAAGCGCCAAGTTGGCAACAGTGATAAGTGGGTATGTGTGCATTGCTCAGCTGGCGCTTATCGTATGTGAAACACAGATGTGCTCAGAGAGCGCTCAGCATTATTTAGGGGTGGCTCACAAGCATGAATATTGTTACGATTATCCTTGAAACCTTGAGGGATTTCCCAAATATCTTGCGGCTCGTATCGCTGGATTGTTAAATAAATGCTAACGATGACCAAATTTTAGTACAATTAACTTTATTGTACAACAAACAATTTACAATACTTGCTAATACAGTAAAACACTTCACAATACTTGTTAAAGCAATAACAACGCTTTACTAAACTTGCTAACACAATTAAACTTATAGCTTGCTTATTCGCAACTCACTTCTCTGCTCACTTTACTTGTAGCTTGCTGACTTGTAACTGTCCAACTCCGCTTATATACCTGCGCTCGTACGCATGGCAACTCTCGAACGTTCTGAAGTTCATCGCTCATTCTCTTTCTCTCGCTGTTCGCAGTGTTCATCCAACTTGACGTTTCTCTTTGTGGAACATTCTACGTCATTCCTCGAACATTCTGCCTATTTCTCGTTGTTCGCTAAATGTTGCCGCAGTATTCGCCACACTGCCCTCCACCTAAGTCTGATCGTCCCGATTAGACACACTTGCGGTTCCAAACGCTGCAAGCCTTTCCAAGTGGACCACCTTCATCTTGTTTCTTGGTCTCCCAACGGTCTGGATCCGATACACTACGTCATTTAGCCGTTTTACGACCTTATACGGACCTTCCC